ATGCTGTGCAGATAGTATAATTTATTATGGCCTGTAATCCCAGGAATGATGCTGTGCAGATAGTATAATTTATTATGGCCTGTAATCCCAGGAATGATGCTGTGCAGATAGTATAATGCATGCAGTAATTTCCCAACCTCTTAAAATACCTTTGTATGTTTGGTTCTATGTTTTCAAACTGATTTCTCTATTACCATGATGATTTAGTTATAAAATGCAATCAAATAGTCATTTGTTTAATTATCAGTCTATCTTTTAGAGAACAAATTATAGGGTTTTAAAAAAATGTAACTAACCTTCATTTTGAAAACTGAATAGATTTTAATGATTCTCAGAAATGTAGAGGATCAGTTTTGGGCTTTAAACGCTTAGTGTTTTACTAGTTCATATACTCATGAACCAATAGCTATTTGTTAGTGTCTGTAACAATGACCTGACTATACACAGCCGATGCCTCTGAGTCAGCAGACATAGACTGAGTGACATGCATGGCCACTTAATGGTAAGTGACCCTGTTTAACTTGAGTTAAACAGATTTTCATTTATGGTAACACTATTTTATCATGGGGCATTTAAACATTTCACTTATTTTACCATTGAGTATGCTTGTGGACAACGTGTGTGTATGTGTGTGTGTGTTGGTTAGTTTTATGTCACCTTCACATAAGCTAGTTGGGAGGACAGACTGTCAATTGAGAAAGTATCTCCATCAGATTACTCGTAAGTGAGCTTGTAGGGCATTTTCTTGACTGGTGATTGATGTGAGAAGGCCCAGCCCATTGTTGGTGGTACCATTCCTGTTCCCTTGGTCCTACATGGTACAAGGAAACAGAGAACAAGCCATGGTGCATAAGCCGGTGAGCAGCATTCCCCCAAGGCTTCTGTTTCAGCTACTGCCTCCAGGTTCCTGCCCTGCTAGGGTTCCTGCCCTCAGTGATGGAAGTGTAAGTGAAATAAACCTTTTCCTCTCCAAGCTGCTTTTGGTCCTGGAGTTATCAGAGCAATAGAATTCTAGCTAAGACTGTGTGAGTGTGTGTGTGTGTGTGTGTGTGTGTGTGTGTGTGTGTGTGCCACCATGCACATATGGAGGCAAGAAGACAATCTTGAGCAGCTGATTTTCCTCTTTCACCCTGGCTTCTGGAGATTGGACCCACTCTCCAGGCCTGAGTGGCAAGTGTTTTCACCTTGCTGGCCCAACCATCAGCCATTTCTATAGATTGAACTTGAGAACTCTGTTTCTGGACATGGAAATTCCATAACAATCTCAATCCTATTAGGAGCTCCAAATAACTTTGTATCGCATAGAAACCAGTTATTATGGAAATCTAAGGCTATCTACAAACATGTATACACAATGGTAATTATCCCACTGTGGTGTCCTTAGTCCAGATCTATTACATTATATTATATAGGTAGTTATGACTGTTGATAACTGGAATGTAAACAGGTTTGCTTTAAGTAATTTGTCAACATTGTTCTCCTAAAAATAAATATTAATCGATACAGTTTTCATTCATAGTATAAATGAACGATGTTAATTATAGCCACCATTGTCTAATTACATATTTGTGTAGCCATGCTTATGAACTGACTTAAAACTCATAATTAATCCTTCAATTGATCTGTACATTTGTTGACGTATGCTTATTCTTCTAATGAACTGTTTTTTAATTTAACCATTAATTATAAAAAACACTTAGCATGTCCAAAAAAGCTTTAAAATATTCTGTCAATAATTATTACCAAGATGAGTAAACATTGCTGAATATGTAAATAGCCATCAAGGAAGATGGCAGGTCTAGGGTTCTGGAAAGTCCGACTTTGGTAGATGTTAATTTGCTGTGGGCTTTGGTCCACACATGTTCGGCCAGGCTACAATAGTGTGATGGAAACTGCCTGAGGAGAAAATGAAGGAGCATCTATTTCAGCTGATTAGATTTTTGCCTTAAATATGCTCCAGAAAGACCCGAGACAGCTGACACACTGCTGGAGGGAGGCGGATGTCAGATACACTGAGGCATACAGTCAGACATAGCAGCAACTGAAGTCAGAAGACGCCTGATGCATGTCAAGCCGTACATCTGGCGCAACTCTGAGGTCAGGAGGGCATGCTGAGACCTTTCTGTGACACCACAGCTCATTGAAAAGAAGTAGGATTTTCTGTGAGAACAGAAAGGAAGACAGATTTAATTGTAGTTAGTGTGGTAAAATTCTGTATATGAACATATTTTTATTGTTGCAGTAGATTCATGAAAGCACTTATTATTTATACTGCATCCTGTGTGTTAATTTCAGAGCGCTGTCACGCCCTGGGATGTTAATAGGAGGGCTCCCATTTGACAAACTAACAGCTTAAAAAGCCACCAAACTCAAGTCATCTTAGCGGATAAGAGGCTTGTTTACCAGGAATTCAGAGGTGAGGCTGTGAGTCCATTCATCAGCTTTGTCTTCGTGATGCACACAGAGTTTTCTCTTCTCTGCATGATGTTTCATGCTGGTGTTGAGGGGCTGCCCCAGAATTAAAACTTGCACATATTAATAAGATGGCGTTTTTCAGGTATTCACCCCTCCACACACAGGGTCTTTGTTCAACAAAGGCTGTCTGTACATCTAGCCCCACAGGCAGGCAATGAGTATTGCTTCCTGGGATCCTCCTGCCAGAGGTTCAGGAGGCATTTTTTAGAAGTCATGTGAAAATGTTTCCTTGCATCTGTTGACATCCTGTGGCCAACCTGGATTATTCAAGCATGGGAGATGGGGTGGCCCTTCAAACAAAGCAAGCCTGCCTGTGGGGCTAGATGTACAGGTAGCTTCTATCAAAATAAGAACTGTGTGTGTAGAAGGCGAATGCCTGAAGACATTTAAACTCTGCTATGATGGAAGAGAAAGCAGAATGACATGTCTGCTTAGTGTCTGCGCGACCTGTCCTTAGTGGCTGCACGAGGCTGCTCACATTAATGTCCTTATAAAACAGAATTTCTTCATGAGTAGTGGACTTTGGTATCCATTTTTCTTTCCTTAATAGCAATCTCTCTTCTCTTCTCTTCTCTTCTCTTCTCTTCTCTTCTCTTCTCTTCTCTTCTCTTCTCTTCTCTTCTCTTCTCTTCTCTCCTCTCCTCTCCTCTCCT